TTCACAGAGAGCTTCTGTTGTGCTTTTCATAACCCAGAGGCAGTCCATCTCTGGGGGTGGACTATTCACCCATGTTTTCTGTTGGACTTAGAAAACTGAAGTCTGGCCACAGCCTGCTCATTTACAAGTTTGTTCATGCAGAAGTGAAATGAGTAGTGGAAAACCAGACAGAGTGTACAGGATGCCACTACAAACTCTTGATACACAAAGATAGACACAGTATATCTCAGATGATACTAGTTCAACCTACCCATTTCCTACCCAACTGGACTGACAAGGAATGAGTGAAAAATCGTGTTACTGTTTTAAGCCCAGGTTTGGTTGGGTGCATTGAGGTGAAGATACAGAGGCTGTCAGCCAGGCAGTGTGACTCTGACGTCAGATCTGATGTCATATCAGATCTGATCAGATCTGTCCCTAAACCTTCATATGTCTTAAAGTGATTTCTAGACTCCATCTTGCATGTATAAGCACATACCTAAGTAGGCTCTGATGCCATTTAACCAGTATACTTGTCTAAGCAGGTTTTCTCTTTTCCTTGAGTAGATTTCAGCTCTAATTAATTTCTACAAAAATTCAGAAGAGGGCCACAACACTCTCCCAACATAATTATTCACCTTTCCTATTATTCCAATAAAATAACAAGTATTTGAATATGAAGAATCACTCTTTTCTATTGCTCAGTGTGGAATGCCGTATTTGTCATCAGAAACTAGGCTGAGATACCAGTGGATCTGTGGTAATGTACAGGTTAGACTCTGAGTTTTCATGCCCCAGAACCAAATGCCCTCACATACATGCCAAGTCTGATGCACGGAGCCCAAGTTGAGGGGTGGTCTTGTGCCCTCTGTCTGTGATCGTGGAACATGCCCTATGCCAGCCAGTAGGTCACCCTAGCAACAAGTCTTACTGGCATTGGGCCACCAGCTGCAAGAAGAGACAGACAAGGAAATAGCCACAGCTCAAAAGCTGATTTCTGATCTGTTTCAGAACAGCAAAGTCAGTGTTCACAAAGATCTGGCAATGGGAACAGGAGGAGAAGGAAATGGCATTGTTGAAAATTTTGTCTTTTCTTCAAGCTTGCATGCTTTCACTTTCATTATTCATGAAGAGTGACTCTTTCTCCCATAAAACACCAACTGATTCCTGTCTCCTAACTGACACACTGGCTTTTCTGCCACTGGTTTCCACATGCCCACACGTGCTTCCCCAACAGCCCTTCTTGCGTAAGTTTGTCTTGGTTTCAATGCAAGCAAATGGAAAGTTACTGATCACTACTATTTGTGAGTTTAAAGAGGCAGCATGTATACTTTATGCTGTACATCTTGCCAAAGCTCAGAGAAGGAACTTAGTGATACAGTAATGACCTCGTCCATTGTGGGCAATGACTCCAGCTTTCACATCAAGGTAAGTTGAATGGAAAGTGTTGGGCTCCAAAGCTTAGAAGCTTGACTGTGCAAAAAAAAAAAAAAGCTGTCAAATCAAAATGAGACTATAACTCTCTGTCCTGTGTTTAAAATAAAGAAATGGAGAGAGCATCAAATTCTGTAATTCCAGAACAACAGAAACTGAAAGCTAATTAATGTTCACTCTTCAGAAATATTAACTCCACAGGGACTTGTGTCTCCACATTTGACCAAAAAGTGCCTTTTGCTTTTATGATCCCAGTGAGATGAGGAGCATAGACTGCAAAACTCAGAGAGGTCCTTGTAGTAGCAGAAGGACAAGCAGATGGTACAGGACTAAGTCTTGTTCTCAGGCCAGAATACAAATGCATTCAGCTGATGATTTCAAAGACATTTCTGTCCTGATATGAGCTGAATGGGTTGTGTTCAATTATCAAGCCACCTCATCACACTCCATGTCTTGACCTCAAGCCCAGTAGCTGGATATGCCATTTCAGAGACTTCAGCAAAAAAATGCCAGTTTTAACACAGGCTTTGCAGCAAGCCAGCTTCACTGGTACAGTCAGCTCCAAGGAGCTTGCATACAAGAAAAAGCCAGCAACTCACGTCTACTGAGTTGGGACTCTCCCCGCAATGGGGGCGATGTCTGAATTGTCCCATGTCACTGGAGAGGGAAACACTGTCCCTGCCACACCTGTCAATAACCTATTCCTTGTCTAGGTGAACACAACTCCACCTGCTCCTTGCCTCCAGACCAGTCAGTAATCCAGGCACTGTCTGGAGCACTATCGATCCCCAACTCCTCTAGTTCTGTACACTTCCCCATTTAAAATAAAATAAAATAAAATAAAATAAAATAAAATAAAATAAAATAAAATAAAATAAAATAAAATAAAATAAAATAAAATAAAATAAAATAAAATAAAATAAAATAATAAAATAAAAAATTAAAAAATTGTCCCAGGATGCACTGTTAGCAAGAGGTTGGTTGTCCCTGACAATAGCACTGGCCAGGTTTAGTATTTTGCAGACCAAATGAACCAAATTGCTCTTTGTATTCCTTCCCACAACTGCTTTGTGCTCCACAAGTACAGGTTCTTGAGTTCCTGTCCCAGCCCCATAGCTGGGTTCCCAGCAAGCATGTCTCACCATCATGTAAGTAAGGCAGAGGTCAGAAGGGGATCAGAAAGGAAATGCAATCTCAGATCCACGTGCACAACACCATCATGTACCTTATACCAAGAGAAAACTTGTCAGTCTGAACAGCAGATGCAGGCACCCACACATCTAAAAAATGCTGCAAGCATTGTACTTAAGGAGCAGGGAGGCTGGGGTATATCAAAAATTATTTAACATATTGCTAGGAAGTCACTTCCTAGCACTAGGTGCTAGACAATTTTACTTGCAGGTCTCACAGCACACTCAGAATGCTGCTTCAGGTCGAGGGAAGCACATGGCTCCTGGAGTGCTATACATCCACTGCAAAGGTGTGTGAGGAAAACCACACGTCATCTGCATATGGTCTATCTCGCTCAAGATAATAATCCTACCTTCTGTCACCAATAGGCTCTATACACTTTTTTACCAGAAGAGAGGAAAACAGATATGGATCAACAAGCTTTCAAGACATGTAGGAAGTTTTTCACAGTTTAAAGAGGTCCCAGGGTTTATGCATTGAAACAAAGTAAATGGAGAAATGGTTAACCGAACTGAAGCAAAAAATAGGCAAGTGGCAGCAAGATAGAGTGGAGAAATGCTGAATTCCATGAGACAAACTGGTAAATAAAGCAGGCAGAATTTGTCTAAGTTTCACCTTACAGGTCACAATTTTTTCAAGTAATGTTAGATATGTCTCTCCCTTTCTCAATAACTGGACTTTAAACAAAATTATCTGGAACACACACATACACACGTGTATGTCCATGTGCATATGTATCTATATGTGTATGTGTACCTATGTCTACATTAGTACTTGGTATTTCCTAAGAGTTTTAATTTGTTCAATTCAACTGTTTCTTTAAAAGGCCAAGTGACACAAAATATTATGGAAGGTTGTGTTTTTTCTGATCTTTTTTCTAATAGATAAATAAAGAAAGACAAGTGAATTCCTGGGGGGGGGCGGGGGAAATCAGATCTGAAACTGAACAATGTTAGTTGCACATATTGTCAGGCAAATATATATTTATGCAGGACAAATTCCAGTGTCTAGTATTGGTTCACTACATAGTCTGCTGAATTCTCTTTCACCCATCAACCCAGCTTATGCCAGCTAAAAAATTAAAAAATAAAAATAAAATAAATAATCATATTTTTAACAACAAAGGAACCCTGCTTACATTAAAATTCTGTGTTAGTATTTTATGTTCAGTTAAGCCAATGAAGGAAAGCTGTGGCAAAGCAAACAAGTATAAAAAGCAAATAATTTTATTCCATTTACTATGGGTAAAAGGTGGTTAGCTCAGTCTGACTAATAAACTGACTAATGAGCAGCTTCAGCTCTCAAGTAAGTTAAACTCCCTCTAATGGCAACTGAGTAAAGAACAGAGTCTGAAAAAAGTGAAAAGCATTTCAACGCATTTGAAATATATTGTCAGGTAAGCAAAATCTTGTTACTAGGAATGCTTTTGAAAGGTGAAACTTTAGCTAGTGTCCAAGATTCTGGCAAGTTAAAACAAAGTTTTTATATTCCTGAACTAGAAAGTTTTACTGGATTTTACAAAATATGTTATGCAAAATGCACAAGTTATGTAAAATGCATTAATTAGTGTTTTCTCCAAGCAAAAGGCAGACCTTGTCACTTTAGCAAAGTGACTGGAAATAGCAACAAATAAAAGTGGCTGAGAAAATCACCCATGGCAGATGACTCATCTCACCCATGAAGAGGGACCTGCCTGTCAGCGACACCACTCCCAGTATAAACACTAAACACTTTCAGAGATACTTACGGAAGGAGTTGTTCACGGGTTCAGATTTATTTGTGGCAAAATAATCATTTAAGTTTTATGGTGAGTGTGATAAAATCAGAAAATATCACATTCTGCTCACAGATACCGAACTGAAATTGTCCTTAGAAAATAATAAAGATTAGGAACAAATTACATCCCTTTGAACTGAGTGAGCTGGATTAAACAGCTGAGTTTAAACTGAATGTTTGATGGATTTAAGTGTTAAGGAAGAAAGGTAACGTAGGGACTAGCAGTAAGTAGAAGTGGTAGCAGTGAAAAACTTTAACAGGGAAAAACTTTAAAAATAATTAATTTAGAAAGCTTCAAGCTCAGTCATTATGAGAGCTGGCAATGCCTTTTCCTGTAGCCTTAATGGTTACCTCAAGTTACCAGGTAAATTCTACCGGCTGATCTCATTTTTTTCTACTATCCCAGTATAAGGACATAGAATTACAAAACTAAGAGATTATGACTTGACTTCTCATTAGCAGTGAGGATTCTGTGCATCATTTTTACAGCATGAAGGTCATTTCAATTACCACTGCACGAGAATCTCAGACTCCTGCTGGTCAAAGGTGAAACTCATTTAGAAGGGGTGGAAATTGAGAGGAACAAAGTCATCTGAATACATATATTAAAAAAAAATAAATTAAAAAAGAAAAAAACTCTTTTATTCAAAAACTGAATTTACAAAGAAATAGACTTCTTATTCAATATCTCACTACGGCCACTCTCCTCAAACATAATCCACTAACTCTTCTGCTTTAGAAATAGAAACTTTTGTAGGAAGGCATGAAATAAGCCACTCTTTACCCTAGTACGCACTTCCCATTTAGAGTAAGAAAGGCATTTGGAATCTGATCCAAAATGAATTTAATAAATGTCCTCCAATTCACACTATGCCCCCGCACCTCTTCTCTTAGTTACTGAAAGTTCAAAGCAGGGAGCACTTACTCAAGCTTAGTAAGTACATGGATAATAGCAGATAAAAGAACACATGTTCTGAAAGTAGCGCATACTTGTCTGCAAAAGACTAGAGACAAAACTGAGATCAGGAGATATTATTGGTGTGGCAAGGAGTACCTGTGCTTATAGGCAATCTCATTTTATTGAACAGTTTGAAGTGCTGCTTAAAAGAACACTTTACAGTCTACATGCAGTTTTAATTTTAAAAAATATATTTTTTTCCTCAGAAAACATGCAAAGTTACGTACATTATTTTAAGAAAATAAAAAAAAAAAGAAAAAGAATTACCATTTACAGCAGAAATTCCTCTTTACAGATCTTTTAAGAGAAAAAGCAGGCAGTAGCAATTTTGCAGAAGACAAGACATACAAACTCTCTACACGGAAGGTATAATTTATTTATTGAGAGACATTAGCAACTGCAGAAGAAGGTCGTTTAAGGATGGATTCAACTGAAAATGACAGTGGCTCAGTTGTTGAAAGTTTTGTTGTGGCCTGTTTTGGCCCAAAGAAGTCTTTTGCACATTTGTCTATTGTGAACTTGCACTTTGGGTTCTCTTTGATGCTGCAATCTCTGTATTTCTTAGATGCTTCTTCAGAAGTCTCTTTCACAAATGATGTTCTCAGCTCTGCTCCTGATTTGTCTGGAAATGTCTGTGGGAACAGTGACTGAAATGGATTGTATTTGAGTGGCAGAGGGGGCTTGGTAGTGTCTTTGCTGACCTTGCTTAATACCTGTTCTTGAGGAGCCAGAGAATCCTTATCAGAAATCTGAGAGAAAGTCCTTTTTGGAGGAGAGAAAGCTGACCTCTCCCGAGCTTCCTGAGGAAGGCACTGTATCTCGCTACATGACTGCTGAATGTCTTGCGTGTGGGTCAGTATGAGTGCATTTTCCAGTTTCGGAGGCATGATGTCCTGCTCAGTGTTTGGACAGTCCTGGATCTGTGAGACCTTGGCATCCCAACCTGCCCCAGGTTTGAGAGCTTGGACCGTAGTAGCATTTAAGAGGCATTGCTGGTAGAGGAGAGCATCGCTAATGGGGCCACATTTCGGCCACACTAAGAACCTAGAAGACAGTGGATACTGCCTGTAGGTAGCAGCTACGCTGACATTTGAAGAAATCAGTTCCATGTTGCCAGATCCTGAATACTGCATGGTTAGATCAAGGCAGGTTGGTAAAAAGTTGCAAAACTCCTTGTTTGGAGCATCAACTTGAGCAGGGTTGAAAGCTGTTTTGTATGAGTTGTATTCAGCTCCGTGCACCATGCGGTTAGGGAGAAAGAGGGCAGCTGCTTGCGTAGCTTCCATCATCTCTCTTTCTTTATACTCTCTCTCTAGCATAATGTTCTCCAGCTCTTTATCAGCAAAAGCCCGTCTCTTTCTCATCCTGTCACTTACAGGGGGTGGCAAGGGTGAGCTCCCTCCCAAGTACGGGTCTGCTGGAATAGGACGGTAACCTAAAACAACAAAGCGGCATTAGGAATGGAGCTGTGTAAGAAAAACAAAGTCGTGTTTGTAAAAGGGCTCGGTTCGGAGCCAGCCCCGCCAGGCACTGAGCACTTGCTGCAAACCCCAGGCACTATCAGCTCCTGCCAAAGTCACCGCGCCTCAGCAGCTCAGCTCCCTGCACCATCAAGCATGTTCAGCACAAGTTGCTCCGTGCAGACAAGCAAGCCCCCGCTACTCTGACATGTGTAGCCTCCTTCGGAGAGCTGAACAGCGACTTACAACAGCAACTCCAAAACAGCAGGCTAAGCGAAAAAGAAAAAAAAAGGCAAAACCCTGCTATGCATTATGACTGGTATTGCATCATGCAGCTTAAGGAGGTAAACTTTTTTAATAAATATGGAAAATCAAATATTCCATTTCTTCTGAACTAAAAAAAAAAAAGAACTAAAATAAAACAAAAGTCCAGCACATTTAACTAACCAGATTCATTTAATTGTAACTGATAGGGTTCAATCCTGTTTGCTCTACCCACACAAGTAATCCCATTGAATTAATGGAATTGATTACACGAGTAAGGAGAACAGGATTTTGCCTCTTTTCACTCCCACTCCTCTCACAGGAGTTTCCCCGTTGCCAAGTAAGATATCTATACCTATAGCTGCTGCCATTTCTATTCTCTAAAGATGAATCATTATGAACATATTGTTACAGACGGTAGAAAATTCCAAGGAGAACTAGGAGAAAAGAAAAAGAAAGTTAAGATAAATTAGAGGAAAGATTTTTTAAAGAGTGAATTGTAGAGAAAAAAAAAAAGAGAGGTTTCTAACAGAACAAAATTGTAATTGCACAGATTAAGAAAAGAGCTTTCTGTTTTGAAAAGAATGAAAAGCTATATTTGAGAACTGCAGTGATTCACTCTACAAGGATACAATTTGGAAAGTAATAAAAGCAGACATGGAAAATAAATTTGGGCTTGATCTGAAGAGACAGAACAGAAAATACACCCTCTCACTACAGTACAGATCTTTAAAGCATCCTGCTTCTGCAGTTATGATTTTCAGCAGGAAAAAAAGGGGTCAGCCAGTTATGTATATCTTACGCTTGATAATGCAGTAATCAGGGCCGCTGTGTTAAGATATCAGCTTGAAATGTAAACGAGTTGATCTACCCGTGAGCAGACAAACACTCCCGCGAAGGAATTACCCCGCGCGGCACAACAGCAGCGCCGGGTAGCCACGTAAAAACCCATCGTGTGACAGTAACTCTCCGATTTCAAGATGCCCTTGCTAACATGTCAGGCATTATTTGGGGGTTCGGGGAGGGGGCTGCCAGCCGCAGTTCTGCCACTACGACCCTGCCGCGTCGATCCCCTCCACGGGGCACGCTTTTGGCCGCGGTGAATTCCGCCCGTGTCGGAGCGGGGCTGCCGTGGGGCCCGGGGGCTTGGCCCGGGGGAAGGCGGCGAGGAGGGATCTTACCTTCCAGGATGCTCTTGGCCAGGAGGCTGGGCGTCCGGACGTGCCTCTGGTAGACGGCTTTGCGCTCCAGGCTCGCCGGCTTCCCGGCCAGCCCCTTCTTGTCCTAGGAAAGCGGGCGGGCAGCGCCGTCAGCCCGGGGCCGCCCGCCCGGCCCCGTCCCGTCCCGTCTGGCCCCGTCCCGTCCCCGCCTCACCTCGGTGGCCTGCTGGCGGCGGAGAGCCACCTGGGCGGCCATCACCCGCTGCCGCTCCACCACCAGGAGGCAGTTGGCGCACTGGCAGTCCCGCCAGCGGCAGAAGCGCTTGTGGCCCTTGAGGCACGACACCACGCCGTGGTTGCGGCACCGGGCGCACTTGGGCGTGCGGCTCAGCTTCCGCGGCTCCCCGGCACCAACACCGCCGCTCCGCCGCGGGGCCGCTGCCCCCGCCGCCTCCTCGCCTTCCTCCTCCTCTTCCTCCTCCTCCCGCGGCGCGCCGGGGCCCTCGGCCGCCTCCCCCTCCAGGCTCTCCACGTCGATCTCCCAGTCGCCGGCGGCGCGTCCCTCGGACATGGCTCCTCGGCGGCGCGGCTGCAAACACAGCGGTCAGGCCGCCCGCCCCCGACGGGCTGCCCCCGGGCGGCAGCTCCCGCCGGGCACCCCGCCGGCTGCTTGCCGGGTGCCTGTCTGGTGCCAGCCGGGGGCACCCCGGAGTGCCGCCGCTCCCCGCACAACCCGGCGTGAGCCGCGCCGAGGAAGCCTATGCTCCGCACCCCGAGCTCCCCCCACCCTCCCCTTCGCACCGCGATTGCAACTTACCCGAGTCAAGCGCCCGAGGGGCCGCCAGGAGGCGCAGGCAGCCCGCGGGGGACCCGGCTGGCACGGACAGCGCTGCCCGACGACCACCGGGGGGGCTTGGCCGCAAGGCTCTCAGGGTCGCCGCGCCGTCGGGTGGCAGCCGGGTGCGGGGCTGCTGCTGCTGCTACCGCCGCTACCGGAGGGGCTGTAGCGGGAATGTCGCGGGGATATCGCAGGGACGTCGCCGTCGCCGTCCCGTCCCGCGGCGCCCGCCCCGCGGCACAGCGCCCGCCGCCCCGGCCCCGCCGCGTTATCAGCGCCGCCCGCGCCGCCCATTGGGCCCGCGCCCCGCGGCCACCGCCCTGATTGGCCCGCGACGCCTTCGCCCCGCCCCCCCGGAGGGGGGGCCCGACGCCCACCCATGGGTGCTACCGTGGGGCGGGGGGCGCCGCTGCCCCATCACCCCCTAAAACCACCCCCGGCACCGCATAGACGAGTGGGGCACCAGGCGGGACCTGCGTTTTAGGTCCGGGAGGGGAGCAAATAAATGGGAAAAAATGTGAAAAAAAACGGGAAATTTTTGAAAAAATTGGAAAAAAAATGGTAAAAAACGTGAAAAATGGGAAAAAAAACGGGTTCGCGCGCGGAGGTGTCGGGCAGCAAGCTCCAGCCCCGCGGGAGAGGGGGTGCCCGGGTGTCGGGACGGCGGGGGTGCAGCGGGGAAGGGAGGATGAACACCTCGGTTTTCGTTCGCCGTGGTTCCCGTGGCTTGTCCCGTTCAAAGGGAGGGAATTGGTGGAAATCGCTGGTTTTTTTCGAGGCTGAAAACTCAGCGGAATCTGTGCGGTTCCCCTGCCCTATCGAGAATCGAGAGGGGCAAAAGTATTCGTTTACTTCTTAACATCCCTTGGCGGCGTTTCCGACAGAGCACTCAGCTGTTGAATAGCTCTCTGCAGCCGCTGCCTGCCGGAGGCTGCTGTTCGGAAATTGCGGAATGCCGCTCGTCTCCAAAATCGGGGAGAGATCGAAATGGTAACGCACGGAGCCTCGGTCGTACTGCCAGCGAGGTCGTAGAGTGCGGTGCGAACAGGGACAGGAGTGCACAGAATACGCCTCGGCCAGCTTGTGCACCGGGCAAAGGAAGAAAGAGCTCGTGAATATAAACAGGATGTCCCCAGAAAATAAATAATAATAGTAATAATAATAATAAACGGGGCACCTCGTAAGCACCAGTTCCCCACCAGCGTAGAAAAGCTAACGATATGTAGGACGTACAACCAAACCCTTTCTGCTGGAAGGGAAAATATCGTAGTTTCCCCGTATGCTGATAAGTGCACGCACACAGTGAACGCGCACCCCCGCTCCCGGTGAGCGCACAGACCGGCTGCCGGCCGCGGGGGAGCCCCGGGTCCCCGGCAGCGGCGGGACCCGTCCCTGCCTCCCGGTGCGGGCAGCCGGAGCTCGACCGAGGTGTCTGGGCACCCCACGGGCACCCCAAGTCCCGGGCAGCTTTTGTGCCCCTCGCGTCTCACCGCGGAGTGCTCAGGTTGGGAGAGGGGGGAGAGGGAAGCGCATCCCCGACGGCAGGTATTATTCATTCCCAAAGAGAGCCTGGCTACTGTTTGACTTACAAGCATGACTAAAAGGCAAATACCCGAGGAATTCCACTTTCCCCCTTCAGGTCCCTCTTAAAAGGCACAAGCATGACAAAGGACCTGCTAGGTTAGGAAACAGAAGTCCCCTTGGCTTGTAAACTGACACCAAATTACAAAGTACGATCCTGCGGGCCGCTGGAGTAAATTACAAAACAGTTCGCCTCCTGTTTACTTTATCCACAGGGAACTGTGAAATCCAGCCACGATTTTAAAGCGTGTTTGTATAACTTTCTTCTTCTCCTCTTGTTCGTGCTCTGTTCCGCGGGGCGTTCGCGCTCCCCTCCAGCCTCCCCCCAGCCGCACTCATCCTCCGGCCGGGAAGAAGAGGCTGCGAGCGCACCTCCGGCGGGCTCCTCGGCTCCAGCTCCGCGTCCCCTTTTGGCCCGTGGTGCTGTGAGCCGGGCCGGGCCGGGCCGGGCCGGGAGAGGCACCGATTCCTACGCCGTGCCCCCACCCGGTGATGCAGCACCGGGAGGCACCGGCGCAGGGCTGGGAAGCCCACGGGGTGGGCAGCGAGGCTGAGGGACACGGCAGTGGGTTTGGGGGACACGAACCCGGGGATGGGAGGCACGGCAGAGGCGATGGATTAGCCCCGAGGGCCGGCGACGAAAAGCGGCCGCGAGGGGGACCGTGTCTGGGGGTGTCGCGGACAGCCCCCCAGACCTCACAGGCGGCTGCGGGTGGAGAATAGGAAAAAGCAGCTCGGGGGCATTTCAGGGCTGCAAAAACCGCTCCCTGGAAAGCCGTCTCCCAGCGGCGGTCCCTGCTTTGCATCGCCGTGCCGTGCGGAGGGCAGGTGCAGGTGCCTCTCGGCTCCTCTCCTCCCCTCCCCGCCCGGCCCTCCCTTCCTCCCAGGAAATTTATTAGCGGGGTTAGGGCAGGCTAACCAAACGGCAACCCCGGGGGCAATTTCCCCGGGAGGAATGCTTTGATCCTGCCCTCTCTTCGCGCCGTCGGGAGCAGATTACATTGCCAAACGCGGGAGATCCCCGCCGCTTGTTTGGCCAGAGATGTTACCAGTTAATCTGAAACAAGTTGCCTCTGCCCCCGACCCGGGGCCCCGGAGCCTGCCACGGGCCTGTGACACGGGCCCGCAGCAGCACGGCTTTGGCTGAGGACACGGGCACAGCCAGAGGGACCTCTCCCCCGAGCAACCTCTAGGCACCCTCTGTGTGTCCCGGGGAAGATGCTGAGAATGGCCAGATGATTTCAATTCCCGGGAAAAAAAAATAGCTAAAATAAATTAAAATTAAAAAAAAAAAAAAAAAATCCAGCTCTACCCAACCAGTAAAAAGCCTAATTTCTTCCACAGTTATCTTCCATAAAAACGTGGGGTTTTTCTGTTGTTGTTTTATGTTGTTGTTGTTTTTTTAAGTAACTCTTGGTCTCTTTTAAATAGTACTTATAGAGAGGTAAATCTCGATGAAGTTTTAAGGCAGTGTCACAGGTTTTTATACATTGTTTCTGAATTAAAATATTTTAAATGAGCAATTTCATTTTTGTGTGCTTGTGCTTTAAATAAGCATGTTTTCTATTTGTAATCAGTTTTATGTACAGTGGAGGAATTTTCTGTTACCCTGAGTGTCAGTCAAGCAAATACAATAAATTCATATAATAAAGATGTAAGAAATGTCAACAGCAATGTGTTCTGTATAGCATGATATGGAAGCAAATTTTATGGACTGTGAGAGTGATTCCCCTGCCTTTGTAGGAATGTTTGCTTTGGCAAGGAGGGCAAGGGTTAGCCTTTACAGGGAGACTCGTGTATCATACCAGGATAATCTCCAATCGTGTAAAACTGGATTGAAATCAAAAGCAGCAAAGGTGAGCGGGGTGCTTGTAAAGAAGAATTGCCACCTTGGGCAAGTGAGAGAACATCTGACCAGGAGTCTGAAGGAGTCAACAGAAAGTTTTCCCTGGACATAAAAACCTCTGGATCAGGCACAGAGTGCAGCAGAGTTCCCCATCCACAGCCCCTTTTGCCCTGCAGTGGCCTTGAAGAAGCAAGGGGGTGTGGGGTATGAAGGTTTGCTCCTGGTTTCAGGCCCTTCTGGGGACTCTCCCCATGAACAGGGACGTTTTCTGGCCCTTGGCTCTGCAAACAAGATCACACAGGCATAGTAATCATAAGAGACAGCGAGGAGGGAAAATGGCTCAGTGGAAAAAGAGCTGCCTCTTCTGCAGCCTCAATGTGAGGGGCCAGGGGACGTCGGCACAGATGTAGGGAGACTCTCATCCAGAACCAGTCCAAAACAGTTCTTTTCCAATGTTCTGCTGGGAGTTCGAGTTTGAACAAGAAAAACGCCATGAGAAGGGCTTGTGTGCCATCCACAGCAGCTTTGCTGTAGCTCATAAACAAGGCTGACCTTTGGTTTGTCAGCATTTAATAAGCCAGTAGATATTTGGCAGGTTTCTTGCTAAAATGTACTAGAAAGTTGGATCAGCTCTCAGCTTGAATATCAAGAATCCAACACACAAGCAGTGAGCATAGCAAATTGTCAAGTCAGCAACTAATGTACTTCACTATAATCTTCCCAAATGTCTTAAGTAGTTTGGCAAATCTCTTGTTGCAATAAATTCTAGTGAAGTTTTGGGTTTTACTTTTTTTGAACATATGGCCTTAAAAAGTAACTTAGCCAAGAATATTTTTAGAGTCACTGCAGAGTTTGCTGGAGATGTTGTCTCAAAACTTGTTTGTACTCTGGCAGTTTTATTCAAATGTCAACCAGATGCAGAAAGTGTGGGGTTTGGTGTTTTATTTTACAGTCCTGGAAAGGAAAGGTCAAGTCTCTGCAGCATAAATTGTCTTTTTGATTGCCATATTTTAGCAGAACAGCAAGAAGTCTTGCTAATAAAATGTTTAAGTTGTTGGTTTTGTGTGTTGTTGTTGGGTTTTTTTGTTTGTTTTTTTTTGTTTTTTCCCCTCAGGATGCATTATAATCATATGCAAAAATACTTAAAATGCCAGTAAGACACCTGCTAAATCAAATTACTTGGGTAGGTTATGTTGTGCTCAGCAGTAAAAATTCAGTCACATAACCATAACTAGCCAGATCGTGTTCTCATTTCCTTAGTAGCATTGTGCTGTCTGAGTAGCCTTACTGAAATTAATAGGATGACCTGAGGTATTAGTCAGCATGAAAAATAGCATCAGGATTTGGCAATATATCACTTAAAATAAGCCAGACAGACTCAGGCCGTATTAATATATTCAGGTACCCAGGCCACACTGCTCGTCATACGCTTACTAAAAGGGAAGGTTATGGAACCATTTACAGTGTGGTACCATACGAATACAAGCCTTGGACTCTTGCTTGTTACAGGTCCACTACAAAGCTTGCAAATGTCCAAGGTGGCAGAGGAGGAAGATGTGTTCAGACCTTGCAGCATGTCCGTGGGGAAGTGAGAAGGTTTGGCTCTCAGAAAACTACAGAAAATACAGTGTGATACTCCTGTGACCTTTCCACTGAAGCTTTCTGGAAGACTTTGCCATCTACCCTTCTGAGAACATACTTGAAAGTCCGATTTGCCTTGCTGTATCTATGGTACATGGGCACATGCAGTTATTGTGAACTCACGCTCACCTGGTTCCTCTGACACCAGTTGAGGAAACAGGAAAGCCAGGGGTGAACTACCAACACAGAGGGA